CAATGCTGTTTCTGTCCCATAACCAGGCCTGAACCCTGACTGATAGGGGTCCAGATAATCCAGATAATTTTCAGCAGTTCCTCTCTCAGTGACAGGATCAAACACACTGTTTTAATTTTAACAAGGCATTGCCTGATATATGCCAGTGCTGCCCCATTAAGGGCTTAAATAAGAACCACCACTTTGAATTAGGCCAAGAAACCTACCAGCAACCAATGCAACTAACACATTTTGTACTAGCTGAAAATACCAGGTCTTCTCCAATAGCAGTCTTATATAAAGTGCATTGCAGTAGCCCAATCAGAGCATGATTTACTAAAGTCAGGACATCCTGATCCAGATAGGGGTATAACTGGCACCCCATGGCCCTCCTGGCCAAGATTTCCACCTGCTGTTTGGGCAGGAGTCATGTTTCCAGAAGCATCTCAGGGGGAGCACAACCCTGTCTAGAATAACTATTCGGTCTAATTCCCAGAAGTAGATTGACCACTAGCAACTCCATCTTGGTAAGATTTAATCTGACTTGTTTTGCCCCATCCAGATCCTCACAGCCTTCAATACCAGTTCAAGACTTCCATGGCATCAGTGGCTCAGCCCAGGGTGGCAATGTATAACTGAATATCATCAGCATACTGGTGACACCTCATGCAAAATTGATGGATGACATCTCCCTGTGGTTTCATGTAGATAATAAACAACATGGGGAAGAGCATTGAGTCCTGTGTGACTTCACATTCAAACTCCCGTGACTTGAACATATCTACTCCCAATATCACCAATTGAAACTACCATAAAACAGTGCCCCCAATTTCCAGCCCGTGTAAGCAATCCACAGAAATACCATGATTGATAATACTGAACACTGCCAAGAGGTCTAATAAGACCAAGAGGGCATACTCTCACTGCCCCCCCCCCCAGTTCTTGACAAAGGCCATCTACTAGAGTGACCAGTATTGTTTCTGTCTTATGGCTGAAAATGATGCCAATAATCAGCTTTCGCAAGGACCCTTTGTAGCTGATTCCCTACCACCTTCTCAATAACCTTCCCTAAAAAGGGAAGTTATCATACACAGCTGAATTCAGGAATGGCTTCTTCAAGAAAGGGCACACAATCACCTCCTTCAAAGCAGGTGCAAACACCTCCTCCCTCAAAGAAGCATTGATAACCTCCTGGAACCAGCCACTCATCCTCCATTTAGCCACCTGAAGAAGCCAGGAGGGGCATGGATCCACCATGCAGGAAGGTGTAGAGTTCTAGGGAGATGACCTTGGAGAAGGAATCCAAAAGCAACACCAGGTGAAAAGGAAACATGTTAAATCCAGAGAGGCAAAAGACTTATGAAGAGATTAGAGTAGCCCCCACCCCCAGCTCCCTGGGGTATAAGAGGGAGAAAACAGAAGACCCAGGCAGACTTGCAAGATTCTGTTATTATCGCTTATCTCAATAAAGTATAGTTCTAGTCTGTTTCCTGAGCTAGTCTACCTTGAAGGGCTGACAGAAGACCACATAAATATAATAGAAATTATGCAAAATAATTTGCACACATGTTTATTACAGCCCGAAGGCCAGATACAATCAAAATATACAATAGTAACCATCTTACATTTATGTATATATATAAAACAAAACAATATTATTTAATGTAAAATTAAAATAAACGTGCTAAAATATATCAAAGAAAAATACTATGTTACGGAGTTTTAAATCTAAATAATGGTGGAGCGTATTGTGCAGATGGTAGCACAAAACTGGGCAACTTGGGAGGATATTTTCAGGTCCTTGTCCAAAAGGAGTAACATTAAATAGAAATCACACTCCCTGCCAGGAAATCTCTTTCGTATTGGGTCTGTCTGTCTGTCTGTCTGTCTGCCTGCCTGCCTGCCTGCCTG